AGCAGCTGCAGCGCTGTCGGGTGCAAGGCTTTCTGGTGCCTGCAGCGCACAGACCTTGAACGCGGGCACCTTTTGCGCCGTTTGAAATCGCAGCCGCACCCCGTCGGGCCGTCGGGCCACCAACAATGCTGTGCTCGCCCCTCCCTCGCATGCCCCCGGCCAGGTCGTAATGTATACCGCTGAGAAGCTTCTGAAAGCGGACCACGGGAGCGGCGCCGTCCGCGCGGCGCTGCAATCGGTGCTGCCGCCGGCGAGGCAGGAGGAGCTGGCCATCCTGGCCAGCGGCGGCTTTGGCGGCGCGGAGGGCGCGCGCGACGGCGACGGCGGCGCGCGCGACGCGGCGCCGGGCGCGGGCTGCGCCAACGCGGCGCTGCTGGACGCATTTGGCGATGAGGTGGCGGGCGGCGCGGCGGGTGTTGCCGCCGCGGCCAGCCCCAAGAAGCTCAGGCGCCCGTGATGAGGCGCGGCCGTATGCGTGGTAGGGTGCTGGCCCTTTACTTTGACAGGCTGTGCGTCGTGGGCCTGCACCGCACGCATCAAGACTTGTGCCACACAGCAAAATGTGTGCACCACTGCGCGTTAAAGCAGGGTCAGCTGCGCCCCTTGACGGCGCAGCCAATCTGTTTGACGCAGGACTAATATTGTCCAGAACAGCCCTGCCTTGAACCCACCTTTTTTTGCTGGGATCCGCTGCCGCTTCTGCACAAATCAACGCGATGTGATCGACAACCCTGGGGCATTCCTGCTTGCTTGTTCACTGCCCCTTGAAATCCTAAAACTTCGGACGTGTGCTTGTCCTCCTCAAGGACACGTGTCTAAGCCTCTCTCTTTCTCTTGGCGCGGGCTTGGCCGCACACGCGGGGTCATACTGCGTGCAATGGGCGCGCCCCCAACCAACTGCTACCAGCGCCCTGCCTGTGTGTGTGCCAGCCCGCCCCTCTTCTGTCCGTGCCAAGCAGCATGTTGGCATTTGTTTTGGTGGACAATCCTTTTTTCAAAGTAAAGCAGCCTCATTTTACCAGTCGCTGCGTCGAAGGCCTGCTGTGCTGCATCCAGGTCGGGGTGTCCTGCGAGTGACTGGAGTGGTGGGCCAGATGTCACCCGTGCCTCGCAACTCTACGCACTCATACCAGCGCGTGACCATTGCCATACAACTGCCTTCTGAATGTGCTCCACTGTAGTACTCCGTGCAGGGAGCGCAAGTTTGGGGCATGGGATTTCAAGAAGTGGAGTGTGAATGAAGTCGGTGGGCCCAGCCGTCTTGCATTCGACATATGTTCCGAAAATTGTTGAAGACATTCAAGTCATCCGTGAGCTGCGCCATGTCGTCTTCGCTGGACACCGCCTCTCGCAGCGCGGCCTGCTTCTGGTTCATTTCATCGCATGCTCGAGGAAATATCAGCGTCCAAGGAAGCGCTCACGGCTACCGGCAGAGCCAGCGGCCCGCACGGCGCCGTCGAGCGCCCGAAGCAGCGGCGACGCTTTTGATGCTGGGTGAGTGTGCACCCGCTGAGGCAGCGGCACGTCAACACACTTGCCTGGCGGGAAGTGGTCGGTGTTTCATCGCGTACATGACCGTGATTGTGGTGGGCCTTCACGCAGGGGACCCGGGCGCTGCGCCGTGTTGGCAAAGCGCGGCGCATTCGCGCCGCCCTTCGCCTCCTGTCCTTGGGACCGATGCCCACTGCGACGCCGTGTGATCCCGCACCCGCCGCGACGGCGCAGTGCTGGCTGCCTTGGCGCCACGGGCGGCGCGTGCACAGCAGTCGATGCCATTCTTAGGCAATGGCGACTACGCGCCCTCAAAATCTGGCGAGGCGGTTGACGTCCACGTCAGCGTGTTCATCGACAGGATGCTCAAGATCAACGACCGGGCTTACGAGTATGAGGTGAGGCCACAGCCCCACCAGATCACATTCCCAGTTGAGCCGCCACGCATGCTCCACAAGCGGCGGCAAGCAGCCGTGCCAGATCAGGCCGCAAGCTGCTGGCTGGCGGTTTTCCGAGGCAGCGTGCTTGAGACTGCACGTGTGCAGCCTGCGCCGCCGCTGCGCCCTGACCCCGCGGCCGTACCCCGTCTTTCCCTCACAAGGCTGTCCTGTGGATATATCTGAGCTGGCGGGACCCCAGGGTCAGGGGTCAGATCGCGGACAGCAACGCCAAGATGACCGCCCCCAACTCGACCTACGAATGCAAGTACCCCTGCCAGTCCACGGGCAAGGCCATTGCCGGCGGCTGCTGCGACGGCGTGTGGCAGCCGTATGTTGCATTCACCAACATCCGGTGGCTGTCTCAGGTGCGTGCAGAGTGGTGCGCGGGGCGCTTTGCCCGCTCCTCCCCCCCCCCGACCCGCCCCGCTACCCTTCCTGTTCTCCATGTGACAGCTCGCAGAAGCCTTTGGCCGTCCTCAACCTCTTGAATGTACTGGGCCTGCCGTACACCGCGCGAGGCAGTAGGGGCGGCTTTGCCGTGCTGCACATGCCCTGAATCAGCCCAGGCC